GGGAAAGAGCAATTTGGAGTTGGGTTTTACCTTAAATTTTCTGTGGACAGCCCTGGAGGGGAGGTAATCAGGAAATGTTACAAATTAACCACCTTTTTAATAGACAGTAAACCAGCTGGCTCATGCCCTTCATCAAGATGAACTTCTGAATGCTGGCAGCCTAGTCAGCGTAATGTGGCCCAATTCCAAATGTCCTCTCTTAAAGGATGACCTGGTGCTGATGGACAGGTGAGAAATACCTATCTTTACTTTCCTGCTTATCACAGATTAATTACAGAAATGTCTTCAAATACAAATTTAACAAACATCAAGGAAATTGACCCTGTTCTAAGTGATGACAGTGACTAAAGTCCTTTGCTGTAGTTAGCAGTCGGAGTTTCTCTTGATTAGTATTTCCTTTTAGTCTGTACTCTCTGTCACCTCAGGACAGTGTAGCTCACATATGGGAAATTAATGCCCTTAAAAGCTGAAACGTGTTTCTTATTATCTCTTTTAATTCTGTTTTTGCTGTTTCCACAGCCTAGTAATGTCTCTTCTTTTTTTATTGCTAGCCCTGGCATTGATGTAACCACAGAGCTGGACAGTTGGATTGACAAATTCTGTCTAGATGCTGATGTATTTGTCCTGGTGGCAAATTCTGAATCAACATTGATGCAAACTGTATGTTCAAGTCCACTTGTTCAATGAATTTGGCTAAAATTTTTTAAAAATTGATATATTAATCTTAAGAGGTTTTGTTCCGTTTTGCTTAGGAGAAACAGTTCTTTCACAAGGTGAATGAACGTCTGTCTCGACCCAATATATTTATTTTAAATAACCGCTGGGATGCATCTGCCTCTGAACCAGAATACATGGAAGAGGTTTGTGTTTAAATTCCTTCTCTTTGCATGGATATTACAGAGTCCATTTTGACTCTGGTCCTTGCGGGTAGAATCATAAAGTGTTGGATGTGATTGTTCTACAGTTTGGATTTTTATTTACCATAGTGTGGAGACTAGAGGGAGTATAGACTTGTGATCAGGACATGACTCTGGAAATTTCTGAGCTGGAAATCAAGAGTTTCACAGGGGCCTTTGGAAGTTAGATCACTTAGGTAACCTCTGGAAGATTCCATAAAACAGCAAGTTTTTCTCTTATTCTTTTGTATTGTTAGCTCAGAGCAGCAGATAGCATCTGGGTGCCTGATGTAACCTTTAAGAGATGGAGTGTAAAGTGGATTTAACTGCATGTGGGGTTTATCCTGTTTATCCCTCAGGTGCGTCGACAGCACATGGAACGGTGTACCAGTTTCCTGGTAGATGAGCTGGGTGTGGTGGATCGAGCCCAGGCAGGGGATCGAATTTTCTTTGTGTCGGCAAAAGAAGTGCTGAATGCCAGGATTCAGAGGGCTCAAGGGATGCCAGAAGGAGGTGAGGAAAGCTAACAGAAACTTTCCATTTTCTTATAGGAAAGAAAACAGATAATATCTTGTTCCAAAAAAGGGATAAAATTGGGGTAGGTCATATTATTAATAGAGCAGTCAAAACCAAAGGAGTGACTTAGCAGCACTTTTGCACTGGCTTCAAGGTAAAGCAGGAGCATTTCCTGATGTCCACCATCTGATTGCTTTCTCAAAACTTGATTGTTTTGTATTTTCCTTCTCTCAGGTGGTGCATTGGCAGATGGATTTCAAGTAAGAATGTTTGAGTTCCAGAACTTCGAGAGAAGATTTGAGGTGAGTATTATTAAGATTTGAGGTTAGATTAGTAGAATCTAACCTTCTGTTTAGATTCTACTCCTGAAAGGCTGCGGACTAAAGTTTATAAACATGGAGTGGGACCACATTTTGGAAATAGATTACATGGGAAGGAGAAGTTCTGTTAGTGTGCCTCTGCCTGCTGCTAATCTTGGGCTGTCTTTTGTATACAGGAATGTATCTCTCAGTCCGCAGTAAAAACAAAATTTGAGCAGCATACGGTGAGAGCAAAGCAGATTGCGGAAGATGTTCGTCTCATCATGGATTCTGTGCATATTGCTGCCCAGGAACAGCGGTGAGGAGAGCTGATGCTTGGTGCTTGCATAACTGAAGCTTGTATTCTGGGAGAAATTTAAGGGAATATGAGTATTTGGAATGCAAAGCAGAATACAGCATGGTTGAGAGTGGGAAGGACATGTACTGTTGGTTTTGCTTCTAGTGAATTGTGAAAGTATTGGGAGAAGAACCTTTTTTTGTCCTGTGCCATGCGTATGTAATGTATTGTAGATGCTGACACATTTTTTTCTTGGGCAGGAGAATCTGTCTTGGTTTTGGAATTCAAATAGTATTTGTAGATCAAAAATCCATTTATCTGGCTTTGTGATGGGCACTTTTTTTTCACCAGAGTTTACTGTCTGGAAATGCGAGAGGAAAGACAGGAACGTTTAGGTTTTATTGACAAACAGCTGGAGCTCCTTACTCAAGACTACAAGCGGAAAATAAAACAGATCACAGAAGAAGTGGAGAGGCAGGTAAGGAGGAGTGGCTGCAGAAAAAGAGGTTGTCTGAAACAGCTATCAGCGTGGTGGGAAAAATGCCAAGTGCTGATAGGTTTTAAGTACTAGAAATATGAGAGTTACAGATGGGAAGAGAAGAAGTGCTTTCAGAAGAAGGTTTTTTTCTTTCTTTTTTTTTTTTCTTTCCCTTGAGTTAATAAAACAAAAAGTAGAATACTTCAGGAAAACTTAGAGTGACTCATGTAAGATGCTTTAAATAAACAATGAGACTTTAACGTTTGAATTATTATTGCTACTATATTTTAGTCTTAAGTACTTGCTAAAATACTAAAGCATTTCAGATGTTTCCTTATTATTTCAATCTAGAATAATGTCAGTCTTCTTACTAGCAATAACATGCCATTTTTACTATTATGAATCTACAGAAAAGGCCTGTTCATTTCTCACAAGTCTTCTATTGCCCCAGTCATCTCTCTCTGTGTTGTTATACAGAGCACAGTGATGTATGGCTACATACTTCTCAGCCACCTTTGTTTGCAAGTCACCAATATTGTATTTTGCAGTTGGCACACAATGGCCACGTGGCTCTGCACAATCATAGTGCCTAGTGTTCAGTAGTGCTTACTAAGAGATGCACGTCTTCAGTGGTGATTTTCCATCTCTCCCTAGGACAGAAAATACATCAACTCTGTTCTGTGCTGTTTGTCTAGGTGTCAAATGCAATGGCAGAAGAAATCAGACGGCTTTCAGTGTTGGTAGATGAATACCAAGCAGACTTCCATCCGTCTCAAGTAGTTCTTAAAGTTTACAAGAGCGTAAGTGATGTTTGCTTCTTACAGGTTGCTTAAGCAATTTAAAGAGGCCTTTTTTTTGCTCTGAGTCAGTAATTATGCCAGCTCTTTGATATGTTTAACATTCTTCCAACTAGGGTATGAGCTAAGCTTTTCATATTGTGAAAAATCTTATGTTAGAATGTCTCTTGTGTTTGGACAGCTTCTGTAAAAAGTAAACATCTTTAAAAAAAAACACACACCAAAAAAAACCCCAAAACACCCCCCACCACCACTTTTTAAATAATCTCAGTGAAAAATTGATAGACATATGATGTATCACATTGTATAGATCAAACAGAACTTTTCCTAGACTACAGAGTACATGTGAGATGTTTTTATTTGCTTTTTCCTCTCCTTCACAAGAATGGGAGGAAAAAATGAAATTAATGTTAGAACAGTGGGCAGCCAGAATGCATGCCTCTGTTCTGGGAGGGTTTTTTTAACTGGCAAGCTCTAGGACCTGCAGCCTGCATCTTACCTATGTTTACTTTAAGCTTCATAACCCTTTCTCTGTTTGTCAGGAGCTGCATAAACACATTGAGGAAGGCCTGGGCCGTAACATGTCAGATCGTTGCTCCAATGCAATCACAGCTTCCCTACAGACAATGCAGCAAGAAAT